CACAGAGGCGGCAGCTCCCCATCCCAGCCAGCAGCTGCTGTCCTCTGCTCTTTTGATGGAAGCCATCCCAGCAGAGAGGAGGTGGTGCCTCACTGTGGTTTTGATTTGCATCTCCCTGGTGACTCACGATGGCACCCGTCTCTTCTCATGCTTGTCAGCCATCGGCGTCGTCTTTGGAGAATCATCTGTTCAAGCCCTCCGCCCGTGTATTAGTTGGCGTTTCGTCTTTTTGTGATTGAGTGATGAGAGTCCTTCATACCCCCTCAATGCTAGATCCTCAGATGTGTGGTTTGCGAACATTTTTTCCCATTCTGGGGATTGCATCTTCACTTTCTTGACAATACAAATGCATTTTTAAGCAACTAAACGTCAGCCCTAGGATGTCCATAGACCAACCCCTGATTTTTGAGGGGTCAGGCCAGGTTCTGCCTCTGGGGAGCTGTGTGGCCTCAGGAAGTCAGCTCTGTGGGTTCACTTTTCCATACCGTGCGGTGGAGGTGTTTGCTGGGATTGATGGGGGAGCTGTGGGTGAGTCCTGCCCGTGAGAAGCACCAGGCAGAGCCCGGCCCGGCCTTGGGGGCCGTGAGACCACAGGTGAGGACGCGGCCCCGTGTGGCCCGGGTAACCTGCAGCCTGTCCCTCCCCAGCCAACAACATCTGCTTCTATGGCGAGTGCTCCTACTACTGCTCCACGGAGCACGCCCTGTGCGGGAAGCCGGACCAGATCGAGGGCTCGCTGGCAGCCTTCTTGCCCGACCTGTCCCTGGCCAAGAGGAAGACCTGGCGGAACCCTTGGCGGCGCTCCTACCACAAGCGCAAGAAGGCCGAGTGAGTGTGGGGCCGGGGGTTGGCTCTTGGCCGCCCGGCAGCAGAGGGAGCTGGGTCTGGGCGGGCGTGGGACCGTCAGTGGCCACAGGGGTGGCAGAGATGGGTGCAGAGCCTGCTGTGCGATGCTGGCCTGTGTGAGACGACCGCTTCCTGATGAGACAGTGACAAAGGGCTTCCTTACTCCAGTAATTCCATGCACTTCCCTGACCTGGGCTGGTCTGCCCAGCAGGTCCCTCAAATTGGGGCCTCTCAGCGTTTGAGCTCTGCTCTCCCCGCTGCCCCTCTCCTCCCTCCTGCGGGAGAAATGGCCCCTGTTCTTTCCACCCCGTGCTGTCCTCGTGAGTGTGGTGTCCAGGTCCTGTTTCCCCACAGAGACCCTGCAAAAAACACGGGGCCCAGAGCCGAAGGCAGCTCCAGGTGGGGTCACCCCGGGGCAGGGCAGAGCGACCCCGTCCCCTCCCACACCCATGCTCCCGCTGATGCAGCCTCAGCACTGCGGCCGAGGCAGGTCCATCTGCAGACGCCAGGGTCCCTGCCCCAGTGTTTCTCCTATGCTCCTCATGGCGCACCGGGCTCCCCGTCTGCACAGCAGAGCCCGGCCGTCTCACACTGGCTCCCTGCAGGTGGGAGGTGGACCCTGACTACTGCGAGGAGGTGAAGCAGACACCGCCCTACGACAGCAGCCACCGCATCCTGGACGTCATGGACATGACAATCTTCGACTTCCTCATGGGTACATCCCGCAGGGGAATGGGGTCCCCGTGTCACCCACCCTGCGTGGAGTGGATGCACCCAGGGCTCTGCAGGGCATGGTCCGTGGCGTGGCCCAGCTGTGGTTCCGTGGCCTGGGGAGGGGTCAGATTGCTTAGAGGTCACACTGGGAGGAGGAGACGCCGCTCTGCAGGGCACAGAGGCCTCTGAGCTACGCAGCCTGGCTTCCCACAAGCTGTGATGGTTTCTGCTTCTTTCCACAGGAAACATGGACCGTCACCACTACGAGACGTTTGAGAAGTTTGGGAATGAAACGTTCATCATCCACTTAGACAATGGAAGAGGGTGAGCCTGTCCTTGCCCTGCACACCTGGGGAAGGGGCAGCCGCCTCCTGGCCCAGCTACCTGCAGCCCAGCCGAGACGCCAGGAAGTGGGGAACAGACCCTCCAGTGGAGGGATGGGAATGCCACAAAGGCCCATCTTGGAGCCACATGCAGGGGGTAGCCCCGAGCCCCAACCGGGACGGAGGGCCGCCCCAGGAGCGGGACCTCCGAGGCACAGGAACGCTGCAAACCAAGTCCTAGCAGACCTGGTGTTACCTGGGAAACAGAGGCTGGGAGAGGCTGCTGGTAGGAAGAGCAGGACTGTGCCGAATAGACGGGCCTCTGCCCGCACGTGGGACCTGGAGCCAGCCTACCGGGGATAGACAGCCTCTGCATCCCCCCTGCGGCTGCTGCTGGCCTGCCACGGGTGGTCTTGGGCGGCACAATGAGACCCTGGTGACCAGGGAGGGTGACCCCTAATAAACAAAGCACGAGGCGAGCAATTCGGGCAGGAGGACGTCCATTCCTAGGCTCGGAGGTAATTCGGGCAGGAGGACGTCCATTCCCAGGCTTGGAGGCCTCAGAGAGATGGGCTTTGGGCCCCAATAGCTTGTGTGTGTGGCTGCAAAGATGGCTCCACGGCTAAGCTGTGGGCTGATGCTCCCTGGAGCCATCTCAACTCGGCTGCCCGGGACCCTTCCCCAGGCCAGAGGCCAGGACCCCACATACAGGGCTGGAGACGGGCGGGGTGGACCCACTGCGGAGATGGGCGGGATGGACCCACTGCCTGGGGTGTCGGGGACAGCCAGGGTGGACCCCTGTCCCGGCTCCCAGCCCAGCAGCCTGTTAGGAGCCTTGTACAGAGGCCCTTGACAATTCTGCTTTTGTTCTGGAAGGTTTGGGAAGTATTCGCACGATGAACTGTCCATCCTGGTGCCGCTACAGCAATGCTGCAGGTACAGCCCCTGCCGGAGCCGGCTCCAGCTCCACCCTCCTCCCCACTACGCAGGAGACAGAGGAGGCCACGGCCTTCCCCACCCCACCCCGGCCATTACACTGGGAGAGGAAAGTATGATTCCTCTTGAATTCAACCACAGCCCCGAATTCAACCCACACCCTCACTCTGCTGCCTGGAGGCGCAGACCTCACCTGCCCACCCCCACAGGCCCATCCAGCACATCTGTGTCCATCCTGCCGCCCCAGTTACAGAGAGGACTCGAGGCCAGGGCAGACTCTGACTGAGACACAGAGACCTTGCTTCCCCGCGCGGCTGCCGGACTCTGCCATTACCACTGCCACCTTCTACCAGGGTTCAGACCCCCTTTCCCCCCTCTCATGGCTGGGGACGCAGCCTACAGGGCAAATGCTTTGTCCTTCTCTAACGAGGCATCAGAGCACCCGTGTTGGGCAAATGCGCCGAGTTGGGGTCAGTCTCCTGGGTGAGCGGGCCGTCCTCCTCACTCCCCATCCTCCTGCCGGACCCCTCTGGGAAGTACGCCGGCCACCACATCCTGCAAGGGCACCCTCATCCCTTGTGCAGATGAGAGGCCGCAGATCACCCTGGAGCAGATCACACAGCCCAGTGACTGACGAGGCGTCAGATCGCAGGCCCCTCCCTCGCGGTCTCTCTCATCTCTGCTGTCTCTGTCTGTCTCTCTGTCTCTGTCTCTCTCCCTTTCTCTCTCCCTGCTTTCTCTGTCTGTCTCTTTCTGTGTCTGTCTTTCTCCGTGTATGTCTCTTTCTCTCTCTTTCCGTCTCTGTCCCCCTCTTTCTCTCTCTGTCTCTTCCCACTCACTCTCTCGATCTCCCTCTCACTGTCTCTCGCTGTCCCATGGCCAGGCATCTCCCCTGTCCCGTGCCAGGCCTGACGCCCCTCTCCTCCCCAGGATCCGGAAGTCCACCTACCTGCGTCTGCAGCTCCTGGCCAAGGAAGAGTACAAGCTGAGCCTGCTGATGGCCGAGTCTCTGCGGGGGGACCAGGTGGCACCTGTGCTGTACCGGCCACACCTGGAGGCCCTGGACCGGCGGCTCCGTGTCGTGCTGCAGGCCGTCCGGGACTGCGTGGAGAGGGACGGGCTCCGCAGCGTGGTGGAGGATGACCTGGACACTGAGCACAGAGCCGCCTCGGCGAGGTAGTGTCCACCGGCCGCCGCACTGCCCGGGACGGAGCCAGAGGGGCCGGGCCTCCCAAAGAGCGCACGTGCCCGCGCCCGTCGTGAATTCAGTGAATTCAGAGGCAGGACGAGATCAGTGGAGTCGGGAGCTGCTGCCTCGGGAGGCGAGGCTCCCCAGGTCTAACAGGACACATTTTGTCAGTGTTCGACCAGAAAAGGTTTGGAAGGAGGCGCTGTCTGTGCTCACGGACAGAGGCGGCCGGCGCCCGAGGCATTCCATCCTTTCTGTAGGGAAAGGAGCCTTTATTTACTATTTTGTATTTATATATGATGAATAAGTATATAAACAGAAACGTGTACACAGACTCCGATCACCTACCAAACCAAACACGAGGGCCGCCCTCCCCGGTTCTGGGGGCCCCTCAAGGCCACGTTCAACCCTCAAGTGCTCTCACACTCGGGACCTGTTTCAAGTCAAAACTCTTTCTCCTTCCTGGGGCCTCGGCTCCTGGAGGGCTGGAGGGTCTCGTCTGAGGATGGGAGGAGGCTCTCGCTGGACGTCTGGCCTGTGCGCTGGTGGACGGATGCCCACGTGATTTTGGAGGACCTGATGACCAGGCGTCCTGCGAGTCCGCCCGCTGGCCCACTGTGCCCATCTGGGACTTGACTGCAGATGATTGGTGCAAGCGTGTCCTGCAGGGCTGGCTGTGCGCAGCTGTGGGTTGACCTTTGCAGAGTTTTGTGGAATCGTTTGCAATGTGATAAAAGTGCAATAAAGGTACAGCAGATGTGTGTCGGCCTCACGGGGCGGGTCCCTCACACCCTGGTGCGTGGCTGCCTGTTCACCCGCTCTCCAAAAAGCCAGACCTGGAACCAGGCACGGCCGAGAGTCAGCATTCAAGGTGGCCTGGACCCAAGGCCTGCTGGAGCCGGAGGGGGCTGCCTGTCAAGCCCTGGTGCAAACAGGCCAGGTGAGGCCCCGCCTCCAAGACAGGGTGGTCGGTCCTGGACTGCTCTCAGAGGATGGGGCCACCACCCAAAGCCGCGGCGGCCCCGAGGGCACCCCCTGTCAATAGCCCTGGCAAGGTGTGACTCCTGGTGTTCCAGCAGGACTGGGCAGCCATGGCTGGGTGCGGCGGGGCAGCTGCTCCAGGGCTGTGGTGAGCGAGGGGCGATGTGAAGGGTGCCAGCCCCTTCCCACTGCAGGCCTCTGCCCTGGGAGCCCCTGGGAGGCCCCTGGGGAGACTCTGGGCTCCTTCCAACAAGCCCCAGGAAGGCCCAGCCCCGGAGGGAGAAAGGAGAGCTTGTGGGCCAAGGGCGCCGAGAGTCCCGGAGGTGAGAGTGTGGGAGTCACAGCTCCTGGGGGCAGGGCCCCCGCTCCTGAGCCGTTTCGTCACGGTCACTCCCGAGCCGCTTCCTCGTGGCCACTCCTCACCGTGTGGCCACCGTTCTCTGTGCTGCACGCCCACCAAGCCATCAAGGTCAATCGTTACTCATCTCTGAAGCAAAACCGCAAGGTTGATTTTATTTTTCTGGTTTTACAGATGGAAAAACTAAGTCTCAGAGAGGGAAAGCCTCCCAGTCCCTACATCAATTTAGGTTCCTGGAACAGCCCACCCAGTGCCTGAAGCCCCATGAGCTGGGAAGAGGTACAGAGGCCCCACCTGGACCCCCGAGTGTCCCGGGGCTGAGTTGAGGGTGGGGCAGGCTCCCCCGACGGCCAGACTCGCAGAGGACTGCAGACCCCTCAAAGGAAACAAGCGGACGACGTGAGGAAGCCCTCCAGCAGGTTCCCCAGCCTCCCTGCCTCAGTGCAGGGCCCAGCCCTCCCTGGAGCTCAGCCTTCCTTCCATAACCGTCCCACACGTCGCCTGGCCCCGGCTTCACAGCTGCACTTGCCACACACTCAGCTCTGGCCTCTTGCCGTTTTCTCCCAGCCGAGGGACTCAGCCGACCCTCGCCTCTTCTTCTCCCTGCCCTGAGGACCCCCAGAAGCTGAGAGGAGTAAGGTGGGGGCTGCAGAGATGGGACTGGGCTCCCGGGTCAGAGTCTCCTTTGCTGGCACTGTGTGAGGGGCAGAGGCAGGAGCCGCCATCTTGGCTGCCACCTGCCCAGGGTCACATGGCCCAGGAGCCCCAAGAAATCAGCTGTGGGGCCGGTCACTGTGGCCCCCTCTTCTAAGAGTCTCTGCATACACTCACCTGTCCATTCCACAAAGTCCCTGACACCCATTGAAGCTGTGCCAGGCTGGGTGCAGCACGGCCTGAGAGGCTCAACTCTGTCCTCATCACCATCGCCTTGCAGAGCAGTGGGAGATGCACAGTAAATGCACTGACGGGTCACAAACAGGACCCTGCACACGGCAAGGAAGGCAGTGAGGGCAGAGGATGAGCCGGGCAGACACTGTGTGTGGGGCAGCCAGGGAGGCACTGTGGCCCCATCATTCAGTGGCTGGAGGTGGCCCCACCATGTCTCTGCTTGGGACTGAACCAAAAGAGGTGATTAAGTGGCATGAGGGTTTGGGTGGCCCCAGTCCCATCTGACGAGGGCCCTTATGAGGAGACCAGGACACACACAGAGGGATGGCCCCGTGAGGACATGGAGAGGATGACGTCCATGAGCTACGGAGAGGCCTGGAGGAACCAGCCCTGCCATGCAGTGACCTCGGACTCCAGCCTCCGGGACCGTCTGTGGTTGAAGCTGCCCCGTCCATGGTGCTGTCACAGTGTCCTGAGTGGAGTCACACAGCCTCCAGGAGGGGCTTCAAGGGGCCTGAAGGAAGGGAGGCAGTGATGCCAGGAGCAGGGCCGGGGGCACAGGTGGGGAAACGCAGTGGCTGTGACCACCCTGCCATGTGGGGCTGGTCCAGAAATGCTAATGTCAGGACCCACGACCATGATAGAATTAAGTTAGTGTTTAAACAGACATGCCCCAGAGTCTGGACTGAGAGGGGAGTGCTCCACACAGAAGCAGCAGTCGCCATCATCCAGCCACCACCACCAGGGTAGCAACCACAGGGGAGGGAAGGTGCGCAGATTCCAGGGCCCGGGAGAGACCAGCAGGACCTGCTACGGGACTGGACGTGGGCAGAAGAGAAGGAGAAAGTGTGACCTCCAGGACCTGACTTCGGCCAGGGCATGGGGCACCCTTCACTGTGGGGTGTTGGGGGAAGACCCAGAGGGGCAGAGGAGAGGCGTGAGGAGTCCCTGCAGGCACCAGATGACAGCAGGGCTGGGTATAAAACGTGGTGCTGCCAGCACGGAGTCAAAACACTGAGGAGGGCGGCACGAGGCCCATGACAGCTCATGCACTGCTGGAGTCTGGGTAAGTGGGACAGCAAGGGTGGAGCGACAGCAAGGGTGGAGCTGATGGTCCAGACAGAGTGGCCGGCCCTTGCTGTCCACTATGGAAAGACACACAAGCACCATCACACGTGTGAGAGCCTTTGGCATGAGAGACACAAAACCACAGGGAAACACGTGGCATGGAGCCTGTGCTGAGAGCAGAGATGTGGAGACAGCAGAGATGAGGAGATAGCAGAGAGTGGACGAACGAGGTGGGCGTGGGGTGGCTGGGGACAGTGTGAGGTCCAAGGAACAGGAGGGGCTCTCATGCACCAGCATGGGTGGAGAAATGAAACAGGATGAAGCCTGGACAGAAGGAACAGGAGATGAGACTGAGGAAGGTACCAGAGAGCAGCGAGGGAGACCAGCGGCTGGAAAATGAGAAAACAAATCCAGAGGCCCCAGCAGCAGCCGCAGTGCTGACCAGCAGGGGGCACACGGCAGAGGCGCAGAAGCCACAGCAGTCCCAGTGCTGACCAGCAGGGGGCACACGGCGGAGGCGCGGAAGCCACAGCAGCCCCAGTGCTGACCAGCAGGGGGCACACGTGGAGAAGAGGAAGCCGCAGCAGTGCCAGTGCTGACCAGCAGGCGGCCTACGGCAGAGAAGAGGAAGCCACAGCAGCCCCAGTGCTGACCAGCAGGGGGCACACGGTGGAGATGTGGAAGCCACAGCAGCCCCAGTGCTGACCAGCAGGGGGCACACGGTGGAGACGTGGAAGCCACAGCAGCCCCAGTGCTGACCAGCAGGGGGCACACGGTGGAGACGTGGAAGCCACAGCAGCCCCAGTGCTGACCAGCAGGGGGCACACGTGGAGAAGAGGAAGCCACAGCAGTGCCAGTGCTGACCAGCAGGCGGCCCACGGCAGAGAAGAGGAAAGGGCAGCACCCCAGTGCTGACCAGCAGGGGGCACAGGGCGGAGACGCGGAAGATGCAGCAGCCCCAGTGCTGACCAGCAGGGGGCACACGGTGGCGGCGTGGAAGCCACAGCAGCCCCAGTGCTGACCAGCAGGGGGCACACGGTGGAGACGTGGAAGCCACAGCAGCCCCAGTGCTGACCAGCAGGGGGCACACGGTGGAGACGTGGAAGCCACAGCAGCCCCAGTGCTGACCAGCAGGGGGCACACGGTGGAGACGTGGAAGCCACAGCAGCCCCAGTGCTGACCAGCAGGGGGCACACGTGGAGAAGAGGAAGCCGCAGCAGTGCCAGTGCTGACCAGCAGGCGGCCCACGGCAGAGAAGAGGAAAGGGCAGCACCCCAGTGCTGACCAGCAGGGGGCACAGGGCGGAGACGCGGAAGATGCAGCAGCCCCAGCACTGACCAGCAGGGGGCCCACCGCGGAGGCGTGGAAGCCGCAGCAGCCCCAGTGCTGACCAGCAGGGGACACAGGGCGGAGATATGGAAGCCTCAGCAGCCCCAGTGCTGACCAGCAGGGGGCACATGGCGGCGGCGTGGAAGCCTCAGCAGCCCCAGTGCTGACCAGCAGGGGGCACACGGCGGAGACGTGGAAGCCTCAGCAGCCCCAGTGCTGACCAGCAGGGGGCACACGGCAGAGAAGAGGAAGCCACAGCAGCCCCAGTGCTGACCAGCAGGGGACACAGGGCGGAGATGTGGAAGCTCAGCAGCCCAGTGCTGACCAGCAGGGGCACATGGCGTGGAAGCCTCAGCAGCCCAGTGCTGACCAGCAGGGGGCACACGGCGGAGACGTGGAAGCCTCAGCAGCCCCAGTGCTGACCAGCAGGGGGCACACGGCAGAGAAGAGGAAGCCACAGCAGCCCCAGTGCTGACCAGCAGGGGACACAGGGCGGAGATGTGGAAGCCTCAGCAGCCCCAGTGCTGACCAGCAGGGGGCACATGGCGTGGAAGCCTCAGCAGCCCCAGTGCTGACCAGCAGGGGGCACACGGCGGAGACGTGGAAGCCTCAGCAGCCCCAGTGCTGACCAGCAGGGGGCACACGGCAGAGAAGAGGAAGCCACAGCAGCCCCAGTGCTGACCAGCAGGGGGCACACGGTGGAGATGTGGAAGCCACAGCAGCCCCAGTGCTGACCAGCAGGGGGCACACGGTGGAGATGTGGAAGCCACAGCAGCCCCAGTGCTGACCAGCAGGGGGCACACGGTGGAGACGTGGAAGCCACAGCAGCCCCAGTGCTGACCAGCAGGGGGCACAAGTGGAGAAGAGGAAGCTGCAGCAGTGCCAGTGCTGACCAGCAGGGGGCCCACGGCAGAGAAGAGGAAAGGGCAGCACCCCAGTGCTGACCAGCAGGGGGCACACGGCAGAGGCGTGGAAGCCACAGCAGCCCCAGTGCTGACCAGCAGGGGGCACATGGTGGTGGCGTGGAAGCCGCAGCAGCCCCAGTGCTGACCAGCAGGGGGCACACGGCAGAGAAGAGGAAGCCACAGCAGCCCCAGTGCTGACCAGCAGGGGGCACACGGCAGAGAAGAGGAAGTGAGGAAACGGAAAAAGAGGGTTGACCTGAGCTGAAGGACATGAACTTCCAGATGAAATAGTCCCAGGGCTGGGCATGGTGGCTCAGGCCTGTAATCCCAGCACTTTGGGAGGCTGAGGCAGGAGGATTCCTTGAGTCCAGGAGTTCGAGACCAGTGAGACTCCCCCATCTGTACAAAAAAATACAAAAATTAGCCAGACACAGTGGCTCACACCTGTAATCCCAGCTGCCCTAGAGGCTAAAGCAGGAGGATCACTTGAGTGCAGGAGGTCGAGGCTGCTGTGAGCTATGATTGCACCACTGCACTCCAGCCTGGGCGACAGAGTGAGACAGTGTCTCAGAAAAAGAAAAATGAAAAAACTAATAATTAAAAGTAAATAAATAATCCCGGTTTCAAACAGAATAAAAGGAAGGTCAGCAGAAAGGCCAGGACGGCCCGAAGGAACTTCAGTGCTCTGGCATGGGAAGTTCCCAGGTGAGGAGAGCCTAGTTCCAGCTCCGGAACTGGAGCACTTCTGCTTCCCCCACGGGAGGGCTGGGGCTTCGAGGCGGAGCCATCACTTCCGGACACCGGGCCAACGGACCTCCCTGCAGAAGCACAGAGGTGAGGGCATGAAGTCACGTTCCACACACAGGATCTAGACACGGCTTGTGGCCTATGCACCGGAAACCAGGATGTGCATCAGGGAGGAGGAGGAATGGGGCACAGTAGGGGGACAGAGGCCCTGAGTCGCTGACAAGAGGACCCCCCAAGGGGAACATGGAGACAGGAGCAAGAGGATCCTGCAGAGAGGGGTGGGCGCCCACCCAGAAAAACAAGCCGGGGAAGAGGTGAGGCTCCTGGTACGGCAGGGACGCCGTGGCTCAGCCATGAGTGCGGCCACAGATGCATCATAACAGGAGCAGCCAACGTCATTTTTCCATAAAGAATGTGATATCACCGTATTGGGGAAGGGAATGTTTGAGTGGGGAGATGTTGAGCTGTGACATAAGCCTGTTATTTGGAAACACGGAGGTAAATACAAAAATCAAACACACCCAGCAAAACAAAGAAGGTGATTTTCTCTGGGTCCTTGCCAGGGGCAGGAGGGGCAGGGCCTGGTGCGTTTCATGATTGCGGTGCCATTTCAGACTTTTTAAACACTATTCACTGGCGTGGTGCTATTTCAGACTTTTTAAGCACTATTCACTGGTTTGATACAAGGTCAGAATGCAGTTTGACACACCCACCATCTGGGTCAGAGCTGACGGCCTCCCGGGGAGGGGTCAGCTCGGCCCCACGGCAGCCCTAGTGCACGCCCATAGTGAGGCCTGAGTTCATCTTACCTGCTTTGCTCCTCACAGTTACTCAGGGGTAGGAATCGTGGCCCCGTGTGCCCACGTCACAGCTGTGTAAACCGGGGCTCAGACGGTGGAACGACTTTCTGAAGCTCAACACGGACAGTGCCTGCGTGTGGACCCTGCCCTGACAGCCCTCCTCTTCCCACGTACCCGAAACACCTACACCACACACAGAGCCACCCACCCGCAGAATCAGGTGGTACAGAGAGGGGACGGGGGCACGAGACCGAGGGCTGAGGAACAAAATGAAGAAAATGGGCTTTCAATTAAGTTCTTTCCCTTGGTGCGGGCTGCTTCCCATGGAGCACTAAGCTGCCGCTTTGTCCGCAAGTAGGACAGTGTCTTGCCAGAGGGATCAACAAGAAGCGTGGGGGTTGAAATTCAAACATGATTTTTTACAAACCAGGGGAAAACCTGGGATTTCACTCCATAGAATTGAGGGTCAGAAAGGGGGTGGCTCACAAGGGGGCTTCTGCCTGGCGCTGGGATCCCCACCCCTGAGCCGCTGGGGCCATGCACCTGGCAGAGACCACGGGGCTGAAGGTGGGCACCACTTTTCTCTGAATTAAAGTAAATGAATGAAGAAATAAATAAATACATGAATGGGGGCTCGTGTGTGGCCCAGCCCTCCAGGGCTACAGGACAAGACCTGAAGAATAGGCTGCCGGGGAATGCAGGTGGTGGACATAGCCCAGCCCGGATGCAGAAGCCTGCTCTGAACACTGAGGACATTACCCACCCCAGCCCACAGCCCACAGCCCAGCCCGGCTGCCGAAGCCTGCTCTGGATACACAGAGAACACCGCCCACCCCAGCCCACAGCCCACAGCCCACAGCCCAGCCCAGCTGCAGAAGCCGTTCTGGACACACAGAGGACACCACCCACCCCAGCCCACAGCCCAGTCTGGTTGCAGAAGCCTGCTCTAGACACAGAGGCCACTGCCTGGCCTGAGGCCACGTCACAGAAGGGCAGGGTTCTCGGCCTGCCCAGGGAGCTCCCTGGAGGCACCTGCACCATCCTCACCTGGGAGTGAGTTCCATATGCAGATTTCCGGGCCAGATCCCCAAGCCCAAATGCAGAGGTCGAGGGCAGAGGCCTTCAGCCGGCTACCCAGGGGGCCTGGACGCAGGGGCTCCCAGGCTGTCCTTTTGGGATTCACTGTTCAGTCCTTCCCCACCCACTGGGGGGTCCTCCCCAGAGCAGCCCCTGACTGCACAGACACCCTCGGCACACCTGGCCTGCAGCCAGTCCGTTCCACAGAAGCCCCACGCCACTGTCCCCCAGGAGGGCCTTCACTAGGGCAGATGACAAGAGAAGGCTCCAGAAGCCTCTGCCTGCCCAGCTGGGCCTGAGAGGGGCGAGGAAAATGGATCGGCCCAGACCAAGCTGTTGTCTGAGGAGCAGAGTTCCAGTTCCCAGTGTATGGAGGATGCGGACATCTTCCTGTGCACAGAGGGCTCTGCTGACCCTTTCAGTGGGCGGGAGGGAAGGTCACCTGCATTTGGAAGAAGGGGCTTGTGGCTGGCCACCTGCTGGGAGGGCGTCCTCCGGAAGGGAAGGCATTTGCTCCCACCCTTGCAGCTTGTCCTGAAGTAGCCCCTGGGAAGAGTGGGAGATGAATTAGGAGAGCCCCAGAGCTGCTGCTGTGTGGGGTCTGGGCGTGACGGTGCTTGCTGGGCCCATATCAGCCATACCCCTAGCCCAAGTTGCCCAGGTGGGACCCAGCTAGGCTTCTGTGGGGGGCTCCAGCCAGCCAGCCCCTTCCCAGAGCGCCTGCCCCTCTCGTCTCTGTGGGTCCCAGGGCTCGGCCGTCCTGTGAGCTGGAGGGACCCGCAGGTCCGCAGGTGAGCTCAGGCTCCTGGGACACCTGCTCATGTCTGGTCCACGTGCTCCATCTAGAGGACAGCTGGGGGAAAGCAAGAACCGGCGTCCGTCCGTGTGAGGGGCGGCCCCAGCTGAGAAGCAGGTGTCTGTCTCATCCTCAGCGCCCAGGGTCAGCGTGGCTCCACCACCTCCCTCAGCCCAGCCCAGAGCCCAGACCGCAGGAAGCCTGTGCGTCGCCTACTCCCACCTCCCCAGGACCCAGCTCAGTCCTGGCAACTCCATAACTTCCTGCCAGGTAACTGGGTTCTTCTTCAGTATGTCCATTCTGAATGAACATTGGGCAAGTTCAGTACCCTGCACACCAACACGCCTACGACAGCCTGCCTTAAAACGTGGAACCGGAAGCCTGCAATTGCCCTGGAGGGCAGCGGGAGCTGTTGCAGTCCCCCGGCCTTCTGGAGCCTCTGAAACCCCCCGCACGCATGGAGCCTTGGGGCCTTGGCATGGCTGCCCACTGGAGCTCTGCCCCTGCCCAACCCCTTCACTTCATTAATTCCTATCCTGACACAGCTCAGACGTTTCATCTGGGAGGATAGTTCAGGCGCACACCACCACACCCAGCCAATTTTAAAATTTTTCATAGAGATGGGGTCTTTCTATGTTGCCCAGGTTGGTTGTCTCAAACTCCTGGCTTCAAGTGATCCTCCTGCCTCAGCCTCCCCAAAATGCTGGGATTCCAAGCATGAGCCACCGTGTCCAGCCCCGTTTTCTAAATAAGATCACATTCTGAGGTTCTGGGAGGACATGAATATCGGGGGCACACATTTAACTCACTACTACCTTCCAATCCAGATGAATTTTATCTCTTGTTCATAGCTCAGACCATTTTGTTTTCAAGCGTGCTGTGAGTCTTAACAAGGATAGCAAGTGCCACTCCCCATTCAGAGTAAACCATCATCTCATTTAGAAAAGACAGAGTACATTA